GTAATGGACGCACTGCATTGTTGGCTTTGTTCAGCTGTTTACTGTTTCGGGGGGAAGGGGCATTTAGCTGCTGCCTCTGAGGGGCTTTCTAGTGATCCAAGCAGGTGTGTTTGTTTTCCCTGGATGAGGTTTGTGTTTGGCACGGCCTCTAAAAACCCTCCCAGGGTGCTGCTTGGCTCAGAGCGAAGGGTTTTCCCTCGTCTCTTGTCGGTTAGTTACAGCCTGATGCAGAACCAGCTGGCTGTGATTAGAAAGATTCAGATGTTTTATGATTTAAACGTTTTTATTCCATTTAATAGTTTAATCGATTTTATATATATATATGTATAAGAAAGAAGAAACTTTAAAGAACTTCTCAGCCGTTTTAACCGGACAATGTTTCTGCACATTTAATCAAGGATCCTTATGAAAAAGCTGCAATTTGTGACAGTGATGCAAGTTGAGATTATTTAGTGTTTAACTGAAACAGAGGAGTAATTTCAGCAGTCAAATCAGTCAAAAAAACTAAAAGTGATCGGTGAGAAGAGAAATGGCAAAAATAAAGCCCTGTTGGGCTAAAGAGAAGCAATGGTGGACTGTTGGGGAGTGAATAGAGGAATTGGGCAAGGATGATGCTGGAGCTGCAGGTTGGTGCTGCTCCCATAATCTGAGCTCATTTCTACCAGTCTAATATGTAGTGCTGCATGTTAGAAAGAGCAGCGCAGCAGATGGCATGGTGCTCCCAGGTGGACGGCTTCTCACCCTGCCAGGGCGCCATATTGTAGGGTTATTGACCAAAAAAAAAAAACTATAGCTCTATTAATTTCATTGAGATAAACTGAACTTTATAACATCAGGTAAAAGCAGTTTGGGTCTCATTTGGATTAAAGGCTCATTTTCAAACTAGAGATTGAATGATCCATTGTAATACCGATAACTGGACTGAGTGTATCAGCCGATATGTGATGCTAATGTTGAATGAATTGGCTGTATACTATGAGTAAAGCCATCATGTTTGACATAACCATTAGGGGAAAAAACTGAGCAAAAATAAATCATCACCATCTGTTTCATGTGCTCTGTGTGATGATGTAATCAGCTTGGCAATTCATGAAATTAAAGTCTCTTGATGTTTGTAACTGTATAGCTGTGTATGATATCAATAAGAGTAGAAATGTCTGGATTAGAATCCCGAATCTGCCTCATTCATCCGATCCAGCTAATTGGTAAATATTGGAGCGGATATCCCATCGGAGTATTGGAACAGTGCATCTCTGCTTTAAACTTTTTAAAAAGCTCTCAGTCATGTCTCTGTCCTGCAAAGCAGATCTATCTGCTGCTAGAGAAGACCAGTCTGTTGGAATATGCAAAGATCTAACTTAAAGGAGCAGTGTGTAACATTTAGAGAGGCGATGCAGCTTTTCTTATACACTCACCGAGCTTTATATTGGGTTCACCTTGCTTTTACTGGGTTGGACTTCCTTTCACCTTCAGAACTGCATTTATTTAACAAGGTTCTGGAAACACTCCTCAGAGAGTTTGGTCCATATTGACATGATGGCCTCATGTAGATGCTGCAGATTGGTCAGCTGCACATCCATGATGAATCTCCTGTTCCACCGCATCCCAAAGGTGCTCTATTGGGTTCAATAAACTGTCTGAAATGACTCGTGCTTTATGAGATGGGAGTGTAATCCTGCTGGAAATATCAATCAGAAGATGGTTACACTGTGATCATAAAGAGATGGACATGGTCAAAAAAAAAAAAACAATACTAATGTAGGCTGTGGCATTAACACAATGATCAGTTGATATTAAGGGGCCCAACGTGTCTAAAGAAAATATCTTCACACATTAAACCACCACCGGCAGCCTGAACCGTTGATACAAACAAGGAGGGATCCATGCTTTCATGTTGAGGCCAAATTCTGACCCTAACATCTGAATCTTGGGAGAATTGGAGGCACCGGGTTTCTAATCTTCTATTGACCTTATTGAAGCCTCAGTCTACGGTTCTTAGTGGACAGGAGTGGTACCTGGTGGGGTCTACTGCAGGACTTCCGCCTCAAGGATTGACTCGTTCGGAGATGCAGAAATTCAGAGATGCTCTCTTGGTTGTAATGCATGGTTATTTTCGTTACCAATGCCTTCCTATCAGTTCAAACCAGTCTCGCCATTCTCCTCTGACATCAACAACCCATTTGTGCCCAAAGAACTGCCGCTCACTGGATGTTTTCTCTTTCTCGGATCGTTCTCTGTAAACCCTAGAGATGATTGTACAGGAAAATTGCAGTAGATCACTTGTTTCCAAAATACTCAGAGTAGCCCGTCTGGATCAAGCCACCATGTCACTAAAACCGCCTTTCTCATCGATTCTGATGCTCTGAACTATAGCAGATCATCTCTATCATGTCCACATGCCTGAATGCATTGAGTTGCTACCATGTGATTGGCTGTTTAAAGATTTGAGTCAACAGGTGTACCTAATAAAGTGGCCGGTGTTTCACTCTGTTTTTTGTTTGGCAATCCAGGAAGAGGATAGAATGGAATGAGAGCCTGGACATGTGGCTTTTTCCTGGCTGCATCCATAAAACGCCGAGCTGCACGTCCTGCTGCTCTGACGCTCACTTTCGGTGAAGTGTTTTATTTTTAAAACCCCTTTTTTTCCTGTTTGTAACCAGGATGTTTGACAACGCTCCGAGTCAGGCTGAAGGAATGTGAGCCCAGTTCATAGTTTCCACCTACTCCTGCAGACTGCTTGGGTTAGATTGGAGTTGATGACAATAATGTGGAGGGCAGATGTGTGTTTTGGTTTGGAGGGACTGGCCTGCCTCTCATCTGGTTGTTTAAAAAAAGGAAAACTCTGGTTCTTAAAATGAAAGTATCGAGCTGTTTGTTTAGCAGCATGGAAAGTGTGGTTGATCATGGAAGCTCTCATCCTGGCTGTTAGAGGAATGAATAGGAGCATTATGTTGAACGGATGGAGCGGGGCGCTGCCCTTGAGCTCTCTGTGTGTTTGTAGGGTTTGAAGTGATAGCAGCCTCTGTGGTTTCGGTCGATAAGCAGCTCCCTGCTGCCGAGGCCTTCAGCTGCAGCTGTTTCTCAGGGTTTTTTACACAGATCGGGATTTACAACACTTTGTTTCTCCTCGTTTATCTTTCACATCCTCCCCCTCTGCTTGTTCTGCAGACCAGAGGTCTCACATCCCTTTTAGTTCTGCTGGAGAGCTGCTTCTTTCCTTCATCCACACATTCATCTGTTTTTATTTACTGTCTGTGATGGTGACCTGTTCCTGTGGTTGAGCTCACTTTGTTGGCTTGTCTCGGACCAAAAAACAGGACCTCAGTGGGGGTTAGACCTCTGGATTTTCCTGAACACACGTCCAATTTATCACTTGTTCTTTGCACCATAGAGCTCCGTCAATCCATGGATAATGACCAAATTGATCCTACATGTGTGAAGAAGTAGGACACAATTCTCAGGATCCTCCACTTTTGGCATCACATTCGACTATGGTGTTCTTTCTGCAGAACAGATAAGCTTGGTATCTAATAAGCTCTGCACTGGTGGCTAACTGGTTCTGGCTTTAAGTTTTTGATGCTCCAAGCAGGGTTGAGCTGATTTTTATTTTACCAGATTTTAATTAATCAGAAGCAAGTTCTTATTTCCAATAGCAACCCTGCGGGGTCAGATCAAGCAACACACCAAATGATTATTGAAGTAATTTAAAAGGAGAATTAAACTCTAAACATTTAGACAGCGGAGGAGGGAGAAAAAGATTGAACCGACAGAACATTGAGTTTTCTTTGCTACCTTTGATTGTGGGTGCTTTTTTTAAAATAAAGTGGGACAATCAAAACAAATAAGTCGATTAATGGCCAGGAAAGATCATAAGTGTTTCATAATCTGCCTGATGAAACGGCTTTGCCAAATAAGAGCTAGTTTCCATGGAAGCAGAGGAAGCAGCAGGTTGATATGTTGGCAAACAGATCCTGGACAACGGAGGCGGTAAAGTGATGGTTTCTGTGACTGATGGACGCCATGTTCCCGCTTTCCTTCCCCGGTGCTGCCGGTGGTTCTGGATGTGCCTCAGATCACTGGGACGGTTTTTTCTTTACTGCAGGGAAACAAACAGCTGATTGGAAACGCATTCCCCTGTGTTAACTAGGAGGAAAAATCCTGCCATTTTCTTTTCTTTTTTTCCTTGTTTAAAGGTTTGTGTTGCTCCGTAAGAGACATCAGCTGAATAGGATTAAACTCAGAAAGGCGATCAGCTTTTTTCTCTCTAGGTTCTATTTTTGTTTGATGTTTTTGCTCTTTAAAGTGGAGCCTAGCTTTCTGTTTCTTTCTATTCATGTAGCGTCTCCACTTTACAGGCAGCTCAGTCCTGTTTAACCTTTGACCCCATTTCCACAACTGGAAACAGTTTATAATCAAATGCAATGATTACCCAGCCTGCTTTGTTGACGCTCGCTGTATTTGGGGCTCTTGAATAAGTCAACAGAAGAGATGCTATACTTGTGCCATGAAGCCACATCTGGTTGAGTTTGTTCCACTGATCCAGAGAATTCAGAATCACACGCTTTCAGGACAAGTCCATCACATAATTGATGCGTCGCACGAAAAGCTTCATGTTTTCTTTCATCTTTTTTTAGAGATCAACAACATAACCGATGTTGCGTTGGCGAAGGGCTGCAGGCTACAGAGACCACATTCATGCAGTTTCTGCACAGGCTGCAGCTTGTTTTGTTGACACTGTTATCCAGCGAGCTCTGTTTAGTAACCTGCTATTGTTGTTTGTGCACGGCCGCACACATGATTCAAAAAGCATGACTCAGACTGCGACGAGCCAACAAAGGGTCGCACAGATGGCCGTGATTAAAGGCCTCACCTCTCAGCGTCCTGCACCAGAATCAGCTCTTTCTAGGCTGACTTGTCAAAAATGTCAGCTTGGAACAAGAATCTGCTGCTCTAAACTAAAACATCTTGCCTTCCTTTTTTTTTTCTCTCTCTCTTTTCAGAGCTCGACCCAGGAGATCGGCGAGGAGGCGGAGGAGGATGCCATCTTCACCATCACGCTGAGGAAGATGCAGCTCCACCAGTCCGCCAGCAAGGGGCAGCGGTGGCTGGGTGTGGATACGGACTCCGCCCTGAGCCTCTATGAGACGTGCAAAGTGCGAACCATCAAGGCCGGGACGCTGGAGAGGCTGGTGGAGTACATGGTGTCAGCCTTCAAGGGCAAAGACTCCACCTACGTCACCATCTTCCTCTGCACCTACCGCTCCTTCGCCACCACCAAGCAGGTGCTGGATCTCCTGCTCAACAGGTAAGAAGAAGAAATGAATCGGTTTCCATAGAGATTAGGAAGAATATGCGTCGTGATTCAAATAGATGGTGCTGCTTCATAATGAACAAACCTAAAACTGCACCCATAATGCAGTTTTAACAATGCATGACATCAACGCCGCTTCATGGGAAATTCAAAATAAAAAAAATAGTTTGAACCTGAACCTACATGAAGCATCAACATTCAGATTTAGTCCAACTTTGAGTGGTGTCACTAATGTAACCAAGACTAATGGCTGATTTATTCTCAGAAACCAGGTCATCTGTGTGTCGCAGTGAACGCAGATGTGCCCCCGCTCCTTCTGCAGACACTCTGTTGCACCTCTCCAACATTGTAGGTGACCTCAGACAGGAGGCCTCTGATTGGTGACCTCTACATCCGTTCTACACTATGCCTATTTCCTGTTTGGTACTTTACTGGCTTGTTTTGTTTGTATGACCGCCATTGTGGAAAATGACTCGTGAAGATGGACCAGCTAAAAGAGCGAGGAGCGCAAGAACGCTGGGTCCTCCGCGCACCCCCAGCCAAGAGGAGAGGCTGGGAAGAGCTCAACCTGCCCCTTTTTTTCTTTATCCGGCTGCTGATGATGATAAAAAATAAAGATCGGTCCCTTTTTCCTCTTGGATCCCCGCTCTTTTTGGCCCTAATGTCCCTCTGTTGTCACACAAACTTGCCCCCGCTTTATCACTGTCTCGGCCGTATCTAGACCGACAGCTAGTTCGTGATGCGTTGTGGCGTGGAATAAAATAGCGCAGACCACGCTTCAATATGGGGCAAAAATCTAAAATATCTGCAACAAGCTCACTGCAACACACTGCTGTGGGGAGTATTACCAGACCTTAAGGGATGAAACTAGAGATTATTTAGCCAACTAATGAATCTGTTGTATATTTCTTAAAATATTCTTTTAATAATTGGACAGCAAAAGGTGTCCAATTGGACATAATTCACAGCAAGTAAAGCTAAACTGGTCCTCTTGAGCAGTTCTGGATAGAGCATCTTGAATGATACGTTTTTATATATATATATATATATTTTTTTTATTTTATTTGGGCATAATTGCTGCTCTTAGTGGATTGCTCTTTCAGCTAGAGGCATGTATTGCAGTCTGCATAGTCCAGATAGCTAATTAATCGATTGCTAAATTAGTTTTCATTAAAGGAATTAATGCTTTCAGCCCTACTATGGCTGACATAAAGGTCAACAGCGCTGCATAGTCTCCCTCCTTCTGCCAAATTTTCCTCTTAGGCTAAAGAAAAAAAAATGTATTTTCTTTTTATGGCTCTCTGTTGATTCTTTCCTCTTATGGCAGTAGATCATTAGAGCCCTTTAGGGCTGCATAGAAGCCTAGCTGGCAAACAGAACCTCCTGAATGTACAACAGTCTAAAACAAGCCTATAGGTGTATTGCTCTAAATTGTCCTTAGACATGCTTCTCATTCTGACAACAACCAGTGTGCGAAAATATTCGTCTACCTGGGAGCTTCGTTCTTTCACCGTCTGTTAATCAAGTTGATCTTATGTGTTTCAGGTACGCCAAGCTCCAGAACATCCCTGCTGTCTCCGCACATCGAGTCTCCCAGGACGACCGCACAGAGTTGAGGAAGTGAGTAGACGGCTTCAACTCCTCTGAAACGAGCTCTCAGTAGAGCTCCCTTTTCCCTTGAAAGGGGTTCAACACAGAATGGTTCATGAACTGATAAATGGTGTAATAAATCACCTTTTCTCTCCTTCCTGAAGAGCCATGTTTATAAAACAGCTCATCACTATGGTCCAGGTCTCTGTTCTAGATACATTCTCTGCACTCTTTGCATTTTCTAGATATGATTCTGCAAACAGCTGACTGTAAAACACCAAACCACAATTTTACCACTTCTCCTTTCCCAGTTTTTTTGTTTGTGGAGTTCCAGCCTCGGCTGCGCTGGAATTCAGTGGTTAAACCCAAGAACGTGTTTATAGCAGCCATGATTAGTTTAATTGGACTCAGATTGAACACATTCTCTGTGTTGTTTTACAGTGAACAGATTGTTTATTATTATCCTGCTGGTGTTTTCAGCACCGTCTCTTCCATCCTGGGCGCGTGGTTGGACCAATACTCAGAGGACTTCTGGAGCCCCCCGAACTATGAATGTCTGCACCAGCTCCTGGCTTACCTCCACCTCCACTTCCCCGGCTCGGACCTGGAGCGCCGCGCCCGCAACCTGCTGGCCCACTTCCACCGCCGACAGCAGTGTGAGCCTGATCCCGATGGTATGAAGGCAGGAACAGAGGAGAGGGAGCCGGTCGGCTTTAGAAGCAGGAATTAAGCTTCATAAATGAGTTTTGCATCATATGTAGCTGCTTAGATGTAGATGAGCTTTAGGTGAGCAGGAAGTGTGTTTAGGTTGAACTCGGATGGATGCAGCTTTTGTTTAAAAAAAAAAAATAATAATTTTTTTCTTTAGGGGAAAACATCGGCTGCCCTTTCGCTACGCAGGAAGAAAGCGGCTTTGAGGACGAGCTTCCTGCTTTCAGCTTTCTGTCGTTTGACCCCATCATGGTGGCGGAGCAGTTCACACTCATGGACGCGGTGAGGAGGTTTTCCTTCCCTTGTCGGCAGATTTAGTCACATTCAGTCTCTGATGGCGAGCACCAGGAAACATGAAATGTTCCAAAGCACTTCAATCATTTTCCTGGTTGGAACAGTTAATCTACGTAATCCAAATTAACTGATCCAGAGGCCTATTTACTAAAAAATTAACCAATTAGATTTCCATTTACTGGTTTTTGAAATAATGTTTTTTTATTATAAAAAATGCTCCTATTTGTTTTTCCCCCATTTTTTTTTTCTAGAACAATAAAAACCTTTGAGATCATAAATACATTTGTAGAAGAAAAAAATGGTAAAAGCATCGACTTTAACCCAAAGTTAGAAAAAAGGATATGAAGTTGTGGATTTGAATTAAAATTTCTGTTTGGTGGATTTAAAGCAAACTAATCAAACTCAATATTGGGAGTTTGATAAATATTAATTTGTTTAATTTTTATTTCAAGCACTTTCTCCTGCTTTACCCTTAATTTAAAGCAAAAGTCTCTCTATAGATCCCTATGTCTTCTCTTCATTAAACATAGATGCAAAGTACGCTCTCATATTACCCTATTTATCATTCTTATTTTATTATTTTTCTAATATATGCCCCATTTTTAATATTAGTATTTTATTTTTTCAGTTGTCAGTCCAAAAACAAGTATTGATTTTGTTTTAATGTTTACGTGTCCAGTGACAAAGGATCTTATTCGCTCAAACTGCTAAAACCTGCACTTATTATCCATTGTTAAAGGACCTTTTGCAGCCATGGCGTACCGACCGCAGGATTAAGTGAAGTCTGCAGTGCAGTTAAGGATCTAATTCAGATGTATCGGCCAAAAATGATTAAATACACTAATATAATCCATTTTTAGGTTATTATATTATTTATAATTAATTTTTCTGTACAGTGAGAGAAAAGTGGAATCAATGTCAAGGTCTTGGTTGTTGTTTAAAAACCCGCCCAATGAAGCTGCTCTCTAAACGGTTGCCGTTCTGTGTCTTCATGTTCTTCCAGGACCTGTTTAAGAAGGTGGTGCCGTACCACTGCCTGGGGGGCATCTGGTCTCAGCGGGACAAGAAAGGCAAGGAGCACTTGGCTCCCACCATCAGAGCCACTGTGGCGCAGTTCAACTCAGTGACCAACTGTGTGATCACCACCTGCCTGAGCAACCCCACGCTGAAGCCCAACCAGAGAGCCCGGCTCATCGAGAGGTGGATCGATGTGGCGCGGGTGAGATGACATGTTGATTGACACTTAGAGGTGGGATCATTGAAGGCCTCTCCACATTTTTATTCATCTCTCCGGATCACTTTTCCCATCAGGAATGTCGGATCTTGAAGAACTTCTCCTCGCTGCGAGCGATCCTCTCTGCCCTGCAGTGCAACGCAATCCACCGCCTGAAGAGGACATGGGACGAAGTTTCTCGGTAGGTTTGGACTCCTGGCTTTAACCCAGCTCTTCTATAAAGATTTCTTCTGGGGCGTTTCGGACTCTGAATTCTGCCTCTGCTCACAGGGAAAGTGTCAGAACCTTCCGCGAGCTGTCAGAAATCTTCTCAGATGATAATAACTATTCCTTGAGTCGAGAGCTGCTGGTGAAGGTGAGTCTTTTCCAAACAGACTTGGAAACATATGCTTGAGAGGAAGGAAATTAGAGTCAAATTATTTTGGTAGCTCAGAATTTTCTATGGCAACTACTATTACTCCTTTTTTTTTGCTTTTTTTAAATGTTGATTTCTTATTCATTTATAGAAGGGTTTCAGCTTGATATTAAAGTAGTCTGTCACAGAACAAAGAAACTGCTGCTAAACGTGTTTTTGTTGAAGTGGGAGCTACTTTTTTTTTCTCCTTTACTTGGAAAATAAATTCATTAATCAGTCGCCGTGTGTTGCATAACTCTGAGAAATTATGGCAGGATGTGAACTTTTCCCTTCGCAGCTGCAGGGAAACATCCTGCAGTCTGGACTCAGTCAGTGTTCCTGCGGATCTAAGCCGGGCTCTGGGTCGGATCTGAGTTTTCCTCCTGTCATTCAACTTTTTTCACAACGCAAAGTTCAAATGCAGGACTCTGACCCGTCCTTGTCCAAAGAAAAGAGCTAGAAATAACATCCCCCACCAACAGGGGGCGTTTTTTAAGTAACTACTTCCATTTATTCCTTTATCTAAAACATTAATGTGCTTAAAGGCTGGTTATACTACCGCAGCACTGTGTCACAGTGAGCTTTATTCCCAATTTTGAGCACGGTACCGCTGTGGGTCTAGATACGGCCAAGGCAGAGAGGAAGTTGGGGCAAGTTTGTCTGACAACGGAGGCACATGGCGGTGAAAAAAAGCGGTGATCCAGGTGGAAAAAGGTTCCTAGCGTTCTCACGCACCTAAGTTGGACCTCTAGCTGGTCCAACTTCGTGGGTTGTTTTCTGCAATTTCGGTCATAAAAACAAAACAAGCCAGCCTCCTGTCTGCTGCACGGTCTGCGGTCAGCTACAGTTTGGGAGATGTGCAGCAGAGTGTCTGCGGAGGGGGCGGGGACGTCTTTTAGTTCACTGCGACACCTACTCAGACGACCTAGTTTTGAAGTATAAATCAGCCTTAAGAGCTGTGAATATTTCCTCTGATTACCTAAACATGAAAACAACAAAAAATACTATTCCTTCCATTCGGATAAAAAAACTCATCAATCATTCACTTCACTGATTCCCTGACGACCGTGAAATAGAGCTCATGTTCAGGTGTATGCTGGCTAAAATAGATGGTTAGACCTCAGCAGGTTGTCCCACCGAGCAACACTAACCGGTGGCACCATGTGATGGTTTAACTTTGCTCCCCCTAGTGGAACAGCTGAGGTAACTGCAATTAGGACTGCTGAACTGCATTGTTTGTAGAGTTGTTTAAAGAAGTAGAAAGCCTTTTTCTTTTTATAATTTCTCTGAATAATATGTCTTCATAGCTGCCCCAGATGTTTTCCTGAAGCAGAGGTTTATTGTTTAACACTGAACGGAATGAAGATCCGAATAATCAGCTGTCAGGTTTATGGTGCTCTTACATGCATCTTCAGTCCAAACATCTGGAACTACTTTCCTCTCTACAACAATCTGCTCTTCTGGGAAAACTGACATGAGCTCAAGTTCACATATTTGTAACCTGAGAGTTTTAAGCAGGGCCTCCTGAGAGGGAATCCCTGCTGACGTCAGAGGGAGGAAACCCGGTGCGACTGTAGATAGCACCTCTGATGGGCCGACCTCAGGGCGTCGCCTCTCTTTCCGTCTATCTTCTCAGACCAGGCGCCGTTCGGACGTAGAGGGAGACACAGAGGCTCTCTAAGAAATATGCTGGGAATGCAGAGAAGTGGATTTCTTCCCACTTTCTCTCCCAGAATCACTGTTGTATCATTAAAATAACCTTTCACCTGATTTGTTTAAATATTTTTGAATGAAGAGGGGGAAAACATTTCCCGTAAGAAAAATCTTCCCTCTTTGAAATACAGATTTTTAAGTTTTTGAAACAAATGTCTGACAATGACTGTTTTTAAAAAAACATTAAAATCTGTTGATAAAATTCTACTTTTTATCTGGTTTTAATACATTTTCACTTTGAGGGGATGCTGTAAAAAAGGTTTGTTTATAACACTTAAATAAATTTAATAAACAGAATTTTCGGGGGTGATTATAATATAGTATATACTTGTTTATATATTTGTACAGAAGTTGATACCAAAGATATCGGACAGAGTTCAGTTAGATTTCTCATATAAATTAAACTTTTCCTCTGCACTAAAGGTGGAAAACCCAAACAAACCATTGTGTTGATATTGGTATGTAAGAGCCAAAAAACACAAAAATCTAAAATGCAAAACAAAATATTTTAAATACATCATAAAACTACCAGCAGCTTCCAGAATCAAACTGAAATGAACAAAGAGAATTCTTAAGCAGAGATTTAAGTCTGAAATGTCTTCGTGGTCCATTAATGAAAAGATAAACATTGATCTATAACCTAACTATGACAATCCAATTTCATTCTGACATTTTATCTAACTGTCTGATTTAACTCTTTTTAGATCAGTTTCAACCTTATTTCGTTGTCAGACCGGTCAAGAACAGTTGGAGTAGGTGGACCCTATTTGGCTTTAAGAGGAAAATAAACCTGAATGTCATCAGCGAAACATTGGAAGGGAATTTTTTTTTCTTTTAAATGTTACTAAACAGATTACTGAGAACAGAGCCTGGAGGGACTCCACAGGTCAGGGGAGCTGTAGAACAAGGGCTCATTCTCATCCAGTCTAGGAGTCATAATGTCCGTTTGGATGTTTTATTTTTTCCTTTTTCAAACACACAGATCTCCAACAAAGCATTAAGACATTCTGCACATGTTCTGTTGTTTCTGCAGGAGGGCACCTCGAAGTTTGCAACTTTAGAAATCAACCCCAAACGAGCGCAGAGGAGACACCAGCAGCAGAGAGACCTGGTGAGACCCAATTCATTTCTAGAACAACATTATAGGAGCTCAGAGAAAAGCTGCGAAACAACATCTTAGTGCCATCTAGTGGTAGAAGATATCACTACACCCAATGTGTCGGATTATATCTGCTGCTTATTCGGGATTGTGTCTTCAGTAAAGCCCTGAAAAGAGCATCCTGGTTTTTACCTGCACTAATGATTTTTCTTTGATCAGGGGGTCATGCAGGGGACCATTCCTTATTTGGGGACATTCCTGACTGATCTTGTGATGATGGACACTGCCATGAAGGATTACACCGAGGTCGGCCATTTTTCTATTTCTCCATCCTCTAACACATTTCCTACACTGTCTAAAATATGTTTTCGATCATTTTAATGTGGAAAAACATCATGATTAATTTTGCCACTAAATCTGATTTCAATCAGAAATTAAATCTTTTTGCAATTAAAAAAATAAAGTGAAAAAGTCTTGAATTTAAGCACTGCTGATAACGGCCCTGTTGCCATCAGTTTTTATTAATTACTGAAAGTTTTATGCTCCTTTTTTGTTTCTTTTCAGGGAGGTCTGATCAATTTTGAGAAGAGGAGAAAGGTTTGTTTACTTTTCCAGGTCTAAAGCTTCTAATATTTAAAATGCTGAAACGCCAACACTGGATTCTCCTTGTGTTCTTGCAGGAGTTTGAGGTGATAGCTCAGATCAAACTGCTCCAGTTGGCCTCAAACAACTACAGCTTCACTCAGGAAAGCCACTTCAGAGAGTGGTTCGCAGCCGTGGAGAAACTCAGCGAGGCAGAAAGGTACCACGACAAGCAGATTATCCTTTTTTATTTTATTCTGCCGTTTTACTTTTTTAAGTTATTAAAAATTATGCTTTTAACATCAGTGTATGAATAGCCCATGCATCACTGGAGAAAATGTTGTTATATTATCTTTGTTCATCTTTGCCTTGGCCTGATATAGAAATATAAAGATCATTATGTTAGAGATTAAAAGGGCAGTTTTTCCATTTTCTTTTTCTGCAAATTAAAGTTCACATTTTGAGTGGTTTGTAAAAGCTTCAGGGTGGTAGAAAATATATAAAATGATAATATTGACTCTGAATTAACTGTAAACAAATTTCTAAGATTAAAGGAGAAAAAACTAAAAGCATTTTAAAATCTATATATAAAATGCTATGTAATAGGATACTTATACATGTTATGAAGATTATGTTTAGAAAATATCAATTTTATGTTTAAAATGATTAATATAATAAAATTTCTATAAACCAGTACTTTAAACTTGTCTGAGATTAAAGGAGTAAATACAGTGAAAAAAAACACACAAAATGATATGTATAAGATACGGATCTATATAAGTTTGGAAGTTATATTTTAAAAGTATTTTATGTTTATAAATTAATTGTTTGTCAAATCTCAAGATTATAACTTTTTATTTTCTTTCTGTTTTTGATTAGTCTGAAAAAAGTGTTACAGTTTATTTGATTTATTTTGGGTCTTTTTATCCCTATGAACCTAAATATTATTAAACTTTGAAAATGAAACAGAGAGAAAGTGTATTTAAGAAAAAAATGCAGAAAAATATACTGTTTTTAAACTGGAACATCCTTATTTTATGTTTTATTACATTTTTTAAGTAAGTGTACTTTGCATAACATTTTATGAAACAATTTTTCAAATATACAGGGTTATAGTTTTTTGTGGTTTTTTTACATTTTAAAATTGGCCAATAAAATTCAGTGTTTCCCATTTTATTTTTGTACAGCTTTAACACAGAAATCAAAGTTTTAGGTCATAAATGATCACATTGAATTTTTTTAACGTGTCCATAAACACAACCCTACTGTGTTATAAACTATTTTTTCAAACTTTCTCCTTATTATATCTTCAAAGAATAAAACTGTTTCCAAGGTTTAACAAATTTTCCTGAGCTGAATCTGTGACCATCTCCATCACACTTTATGTTAAATAAAAAAAATCTGTTGTATTTTTCAGCTACAATCTGTCCTGTGAGATCGAGCCTCTGTCCGAGTCGGCCAGCAACACGCTGAGAGCCAAGAAGAACGGAGGAATCATGAAGCGATGGAGCGAGTCAGTATTTATCAGCTTTTCAACACGGTTTCCAGTCTTTTTCTGCACAAAGACTAACGCTTCTATTTCTGTGTCCAGCCGGCAGTTGACGGAGGCAGGCTGCAGCGGCGGCGCAGGCTCCCACTCAAAGTCCTTCGACCACTCCCACTACAGACCGTACCAAGGAGGAGGCGGGGACAGCGGCGACGCCCTCAGTGTAACGTCTGTCAGCTCCAGCGGGTCGGACCTGGAGGATGTGAACACCAGCTTTCTGTCTGATTCACCAGAGGGACACGAGAGGAAGGTGAACGGCAGGAAGTCTGATGGGATCTTAGGAGCCTGAACGCCTCGTCATCATGTCCAGCTTCTAAAACATCTGCGTTTCTTTCCAGACATCGACTCCTTCAGTGAAGCTCACCGTCTCTGCTTTAGGGAGAGAAGCTCCAGCTGCGGATACGACCTCAACGGTATTGACTGTAATGTTTTCTGCTTTATCCTATTGATTTATCTCCGACTTATTTTGGTTGGTAACGCCTGTGCAGTGTCCTCCTCAGTTCTGGGAGTGCACGTCTCTGTCCTCCCTGGACACCTCTGGGATGGGATCCAGCTCCGGCTCCGCCTCGGGCTCCAGCAGCACGTCCTCCTCCTCGGTCTCCTCTTCCACGCCGCTGTCCGCCTCCCGCTCCCACAAACGCTCGGTGTCGGCGGTGTCCAACTACTCCACGCTGTCGCTGCCGCTCTACAACCAACAGGTGGACGACTGCTGCATCATCAGGGTCAGCCTGGATGTGGAAAACGGCAACATGTATAAGAGCATCCTGGTCAGTTTCTCTGCTTTTGTTTCAATATTTTCCAATTAACAGATGTTTTCAAATAAGGAAACGTCTCTGTGAATTTGACTTTTTTTTATTTATCTTCTTCCTTCAGGTGACCAGTCAAGACAAAACCCCAGCAGTGATCAGGAAGGCCATGATCAAACACAACCTGGAGCGGGAGAAAACAGAGGACTACGAGCTGATGCAGAAGATCTCAGAGGACAAAGGTGAGCCAAGTGATCCCCCCCTGACACACGCAGCCAGAGAAGTTACAATTAGTGTGGAACCCTATTTTTTTTCATGGATTGATGATCAACAAAATTACATATCCAAATGTAAAGTGGAAGAAAATAAGTGGTTTCAGAAATGCTTCGAAATGAACCTCCTAAGTAAATTCCAGTGCAGCACATTGCCTTCATGTAAGAGCAGCAGGAAAAAAGACACCAGTTTATAACAAGCCATAGTGGCGACGAGACAAAAGAGTCCTTCTCTAATTTATAACAAGCCATAGTGGCGACGAGACAAAAGAGTCCTTCTCTAATAACACCCCGTTGTACCATTAGTATGCTATTCCCATAGTGAAACATGGTGGTGGCAGCTTCATGCTGGGGCGAGGGGGTGTTTTTCATCTGGAACAGAAATGGAGCTTAAGCAAACCAGTAAGAGGCTTCGGAAGACTTAAGACTGATGGTGACATGGGGGCTTCAATCAAAGCCCGTTCCTGCGTTAGATGGATTTAGGTCCTGACTTTGACTAGGCCGTTCTAAGGACCTGCGGTAACACTTGATAAGAGATGCTCTCTATCCATCTGATTGAGCTGTAGATGTGCAAAGCTGGTAGAATCGGTAAAAGCAGCAGACTGTGGTGAATAGGGTTGGGCAATTCATTGCATTTGCAGTTTAATGACGTTAAAAAAAACAAAAAAACATTTTCATTGCAGAGCTGCTCAATTTTGCTCACATTTAACAAAACTAAGGGACTAATTTCTCACTCCAGCACCTTAACTGATGGTCATATGCTTAAAGGGGGTTTGCTTACACTAAAAAGGAAAGAATCTTCCAATCAGCACGCAGATCTAGGCTTGCAGAAGTTGGCCCATTTCCAAACAAAGGTTAAAGTTCAGTCCTGGAACAATGGACTCCTGACAGGCAAGCTTCCAAGGGAATGAAAAAAACAGAAACACTGAAGTAAAACATGAACAAGCATGTGGTTAGTTCTTTGAAATAAAATCCTAATATTGGTTTAAAATAGTTTTGATTTTTGGCAAAATCGTTCAGCCGTAGTGGTGAAGTCAGAATGCACTGATCCATGTATTCTCTCTATGTGTAGAGCTCCGGATTCCAGATAACGCCAACGTCTTCTACGCCATGAACTCCACTGCCAACTACGACTTCGTGCTAAAGAAGCGCGGCTTGGGCCGGCCGGTGCGGGCCAAGACCGTGGCCAGTTCAACGCTGCCTCGCATGAAGCAGAAGGGACTGAAGATCGCTAAAGGGATTTTCTGAGGTCCGCCTTTCTCCACCCGCTGGACTCCCAGTTTCTGGTCCTCAGGAGAGACGAGCCAACCTGGAGCGTCCACGTTTGGGACTGAGGCAGAGACCGGACCTTTCTGTGGCACTTTAGCACTTCACTGGATGAGTTGCTTCTTCAGGACCCTTGGAGGAAATGGGAGTTTGTTTTCTTACAGCTACAAACTCAGGAAAGTGGGACAAACTCGGACTCATCACCTTCCACCTGGTTGGGATCAAACATCTGAATATCTGACGCCTCACGTTTTTGTTTACATCTCAGTTCAACCATCCTTCTGCACCTTCACTTTTTAATCCTCCTCAATGGATCACACTCTTAACGCTCATCATCCAGAGACAAAGCAAGACGAGATCCAGGGTTCCAGCTCTGCGTTTTAAGGCTCAGAATGTGCTTCTGCTGGGAGCGTTCCTGACCTTTTGACGCCGTTACCTGGATTTCACCGCCGTTTTGTCAACAGAACCTGGAGGAAAAGAAGCTTGTCTGAAACTCTGCAGTATTTTTAAAAAAAGGAAATGGTAAAAAAAAAGCTTCAAAGCAACGTCATAATCCAGAGAAAACTCCCACGCCTCCGTTTGCGTTTTTTTTTACCAGGTCAGAACCACTACATGGAGAACAAGCAGAGCGATCGCACTTCACACAGACTGAACAGACAGAATGTAAATATGAAAAACACGGTCTGTGCAGCATATTCTGAGAAAGGACCCTGTGATTTCTGTTTATAGACTCATGATATAAACAGTTTTTAATATTTTTATTTAGCTTTGTTTGTTTGTTTGTTTTGTTTATTGTTTTTTTGTTTGTTTTTCTCATCTTTGCTCTGATGTGGTGCTGTTCCTCATCTTCTCATGGTTTCCCATGTTCCTCCAAACCGCCAGGCGCCATGTTGGAAGAAAAACACAGAAGTTTAAAAAAGCAACAAAAACAAAATGTCTATTTAGAGAGAGTTGACTAGTTAAATTATCCTTAAAAATATGGAAGGCCAAAAGTGCCGCGATCAAATTCATAATTATGCTAATTATAAAATGTTTATGCTTGATTATTTTAAAACGTATCTAAATTTTTCTTTATTGAAATTAGTAAATTTACATTTTAAATAAGTTATGAACTAAATTATTAGTACTTCCTATTTTAATGTGCAAGTAAAAGTTTTACTTTTGTCAAATAGACCCTGATATGTTAGAAAACTGAACAGCGAACCAACCGGCTTGTCTGTAACAGTTAAGGCCCCGCCCACTGGCTTCCTGTGGTAAAAGCCTGACAGATAAACATTTATTAGATCGTACAGCAGAACCTGGAAGGAATTGAATAAAAAAATTACATTTTTGAAAATTGAAATAGTCATAATTTAAAAGTTTGAGTAATGATCCAAGCTATGATTAATAATAATTAATTCCAGATCAGTTTACTGATTTATTTGAATGTTTACATTTCATATAGAACGTCTTACTTGATGATTTACTTGATCTTTTGATATTTATGATAATCAGGAGAAAAAAAATTACAAAGTGATCGAAAGATATTAATAAAATGGATAAAAATAACCAGATTTCTCTCTGAACTCTTATGCCTCAGTTGATAAGTTAAGAATATCTGAACTAATCAACAATAAGAGTTTATTTATCTAATGCAGAGTCGTAATGGATCCAAACTAAAGCACTGATGGCTGCTGTTCCTAATCCATTTTTTAATCCCTTTTTAAGCTGAAAAAACATCCACATTTTTTTTATTTCTAATGAAGATTATCAGGTTTCTTGCTGAGAATCCTCTGGACTCAGTAAATCTCTGCGATTCAGTTTAATTTCTTCCAACATGGCGGCCCTCTGACCCTTTTCTATACGTTCAGTTTTCCAAATGTGCCGCATGTTTTCAGCTTGGATCAGCTCTGGTCTCTCTGAATGCAGCCGAGTCGCTCGTGTCTGAGCTCCGTTGGAAGGGTTTCCGTGTGGAAAACTCAGACATAAGATGAATGTGAATCCTAAAGGAAGCGCCGGTTATGCTTCCAAGCATCCATAAAAGAAAACTCTAACCATCGTGCTTCTCTCAGTCCTCTTTCGTCTTTTTTAAACTTCTACTGTAGGTGTCTTTGATCCACATTTTCTTTTCTTCACATTAACACAGTTTCATCACATTTAGGGGCTTTCTTCACCCACCTCACATAAACCAACTTGTTTTGTTGCCATTGTTCCTCACTTCACACAAAAGCAGCCTCTCTGTTGCAGCTCTCTTTCACTTCGCTTTGTTTTGAAGCCCTAAATGTAAAACCTGTCTGCCACTGCCTCTGCACTGCTTACATTTGGTGCCAAGCAGCTATTGCTGCACAGCATTCTGGGAATTGAGGGGAAAGCACTAAAAGAAATGACACGATGGTGTAGTGTTGAACACTAAGTCGGCTCAGGCCTCTGCGACCTCCTTTTGCCTTTTTATTTTGGTCCGTTCTTATCCGTGCGCGTTTGTTCCTTCGTAACCTTCATGCTGAAACGAGCGACGAGCCCCGAACACAAACTGAAAAAAACACGCTGCAGAAGCAATACGTGAGACGAGCAGCAGGGCGAGAACGCCGTCCTGCTGCCACTGATGTCATCGTGAAACACTGTGACCTTTGACCCCTTCACTCCCTGCCTCCCTCCCCCGTCGATCGGTACTGTGAACCGTTTATTTTCACGATGGGTCCATTTTCGCTCGTGTTGTCTGACGAGGCAGCAGGCCGGATCCAACGTGTGCCAAAAACAGAAAGGAAAAAGTGATGAGGCTGCCTTTGTGTCGCCATGGGAACGGTTAGCTTCTGTGTTTACTGTTTACTCGAGGGAGAACACGAAGATGGGAATAAAAAAAAAGAAAACATGTCTGGACACGCTTAAGAGAGGACAGTTTTGCTGATTTTTGTCCAGGAAAGTAAAAGCGGGCGTGTTTGCAGAGCAAAGCCAAACTTCAGTGAATTTATTCTGCTGGGATTTTTATATTTGAAAGTCTTAACTTCTTTATTGTACACTAACTAAAACGTTCACATCACTGAAAGATCCTATCCCTACAAGGTTATCTTAAAACCCGGATCCAAGTGTGTGATCAAATTAATTTAAACATTAAGAAACTAAAGCTAACTGTATTTAGCTCCTTTTATTGTTGCTCATTTTTGTTCACATAATCGCCTTTGATCCAGAACGAGTCCCTCGCTTTACAATCGGACCTAAAAGGCAGCAGGAAGTGTGTGAAAATAGTTTTTCTGTTGCTTGTGGATCTGCTGTGGAGAAACCTGTGATGACCATGAGCAGGACCCTTCCTCTTCGTCCCGCAGTTAACTTGATTTTAAAAATGAGCCAAGTGTTTCAGTTTCTTTTATTAAGAGTTCCCAAATTTTAACTGAAAATGGGGAGGAAGGGTGGATTTTTGGGCAGTATTCAGTATTTGTCTGAAAAGTAAAAACTTGACTGTTGATCTTAATCTGGTTTGTGCTTCTAAACGATCAGTCTCTTCAGCAGCTCTGTGTCTGACTTTATGGTTGTTTTCTGACCCTGCGGGGTGACGGATGTGATGGACTGTTTGTGTGTGTGTTTTGTTGCCCTTGTTCAAAATGAATTCAGTGATTGTGTGTGAGTTTGGAAGAAAAAAAAAAACACCCAGTTTTACATGAAGGAAAAAACCCAACTGGACCCAGGTGTGCTTTGATGGTTTTAATCTTTTTGTTTTGTTGTTTCTTCCTTGGATTTCTGCTTCAGTGCCATTTTTCCACTCTTCCCTGAAGGATTTCAAACTTTTCTTTCTTTTTTTTTTTTTTTTTTCTTAAGAACAAAAAACCTGTGGTGACAAACTGTCTTTGTGTCTTATTTATTGATTTGTATATAAAGATTTTGTTTTGCATTGTACAGTCTCTCCTCTCTTGGTTATAGATTAATATATTCGTGTATATATGAATAAACATTAAGTTTGTAAAGTTAAACAAGACATCTTGCACCTTTGTTTTTATTTCATTCGGGTTGTTTTTTTTTTTTTTAAGACTCATTAGTAAAATTCTAAATGTCTGTCATACTTTTAACTTCTTTTGCTCACATTTCAGATTATACTGAATAAGTAATTTGGTAAGAAATGGTCACAAATATTAGGGCTGGATAATTACAAATGCTGTTAAATAGCTAGATGTGTACATTTATATATATATATATATATGAAACTATTTCCAAATCAGAGGCACCCTTTTCTTTGGGTCATGTTAGTAGATACTTTCTCCCTCCAACCCCCCAGTTGGCTTTAATGTGATTAAAGTTCGTTTGCTGCCACACATTTGCAGCCAAGACACAGATTCATGCAGAAGAACCACATGTAAGCACTTTTCCATACAACTGTAAAGTCCAGCAACGATGACTCTGGACTGAAGCATTTAAGGCCATGAAAAGAATAGAATAGAAAATTCCCTTTATTGTCCCAGTCGACAAAGGGGGAATTCTGGTATTCACGAGCAAAAAGATTATAGAAAAAAATGGTCACACAAAGGTGGACCTTACAGTGTATAAAAACATAATAGTGAAGAGTTAAAAAAATAAACAAAATACTGTGTTAACCAATATACAGCTATGGACATTTTTATAGTAATGGATATTTGAAAATGCCAACATCAGAGATGTGCAAAATGACAGCAGCATGTTATTTAATTAAGGCAGACACTGTAAAAATCAGTATGAATCTAACAACTTCAGGTTATAGGGAACAGTGGTGGTTCTAGAGTCTTCCAGCTGCTGGGAAGAAGCATCTGTGAGGACGCTCCCTAGTGCATTTAGCAGTCTGTCACTGAAGGAGCTCTCCAGTTCGGCAACAGCTTCATGAATGGGGTGGGAAATATTATCCAACAGAGATGTCAATTTACTTCGGATCCTTTTGTTTCCAACCTCCTGCACTGAGTCCTGAGGGCAAAACCATAAAGCCAAACGTGTATACTTGTTTGTTGCATAAAAAAAACAAGTTTTGGCAAAATAGCCCAACCCTAATCTATATTGAACACAAATGGTTAACTCATTAAAAATATGCAGCAGTGTAAGATGACGCAACAGGGTTTCGAGTAATTTAAATAGGAAAACCCACAGGAAGTACGTTGCAGAGACATGATAAAGGAAATTCGTTTGGCACTGCCAAATATGATTCAATTAACAAGTTAAATAAAACATGCAATGGCAACTCTTTTCCAAAATAGGTTTTGATCGTATATTTAAATGAACCTGGGAGATTCAGCGTTCAGGTAGGTTGCTCCAGATAAGTGGAGCAGAAGAACTAAAAACTGCTTAATGTTTGGTTCTTAGGTATGTAGAGTAGATTAAAGCCAGAATATCTGAGAGGTCAGAGTAGTTAATAATAGACAAGTCTATTATATATTTTGGAGCTGAGCCTGTTATCTGAGATTGGGAGGACCTGAGAACCGGGCAGATGTGCTCTACCTTCTTAGTGCTAGTGAGGACGCAGGCAGCAGTAGGATCCACTTTTTAGGTAGACATGTGAAGACACCATTACAGTAATTAATTTTAATATAATTGAAAGCAGGAATTCGTTTTTCAGTGTTTTTCTTCTATGCATTTGCCCAGGTTTAAATTCTGCCTGGTTACATTTAAGAGAGAGTTTCAGTGTCATTTGTAAAGTTATAGTACAGTAACGTATTTAAATCTGCACCATACAGAATACAAAAGTGTAAAATCATATTTCATCTATTTATTTTCTTCAACATGGTGGTTGGGACTTAGTGGGTCACGGGGGTATTGCAGAAGGGTCGGGAATCATGCAACTCCTACCAAACGGACCCCTAAATTCTCAGCCTGGAGAGAGATTTAAAACAACTGCAGAATTTAGTTTGCTTTAATATGAATAAATTAAGCATGGTGTCATTTGCAGTATTGCTTAATCTACCCTTCAAAAATTGACATTTCAAAAGAAGATAGCAAATGCATCTGAGCAAAAAGCCGCTCAAAATAAAAGAAATAATTTAGTCTGAGATGAGATAATTTCATTTTACAATATTATTTTTTATTAAGCCTGTGGCGTAAAGTTGAAAACTTGAAATAAGAAATTACCTCTTAAAACAAGATGAATTATTTAACACTTTTAAATTCAGGAAAAGCTGAACACAATTAAAGCCCTTTGTGTTGAAACAAATAAATAGAATATTTCAATAGATCAGCTGTGATTAAAAAGCCTGAAGAAAACCTGCAGATATAATAGCTGGGAGACTCCAAAGAAAAGCAGACGGTCATCATTATTTCAGATTCTGCATTATACTGTAATATCTGCTACAGATTTAGGCCACCATATGTCACTCATCTCAAAGAGGATACAGTTTTATTTCCTGTCTTTCTCCTTATTTTTATTTATGTATTTTTTTCCCAGGAGCAAAACATCCAATAAATATATTAAACATAAAAAAAGAAAAGGAAAAGGGTAGACGTCAAGAAATTAAAGGGACAACTATATAGGCTCATATAGCACAATAGAGCTTAAAGTTAGAGAACATTATAGAACATTTGGAAGAAGATATCAAGGGAGACAGTTCTATAGAATATGAAGGAAGGTTGGATGAAGTACTATAAGAAATAGAATACAGAGAAGATAATGATTAATCTACTGCTCAGGAGTCCTGACTCAACACAGCAATATACATAACAGACAAACATTAGGATAAAACAACGCATGTAATGTGTAACTGTGGGAAATAGAAAATATACAAAAAGGGAGTTTAGTAGGCAAAAATTAAATAATTTTATATATCTTAATAAGTAATGAGTTTATAACATACTATAAAATATTTTAGATGTGTGACTGTATCTAGGATAATTAAGAATATATCTTTATTTTTTCCTTTTGGCTTGCTTCTCCATATTCAGACACCCCGTTGTTGGTGTCAGTAATGCTCCAAATGTGGTTTGTTAACCGCCATTTAAATCAGAGAAGAAGAAGAAATCGGCCAGTTGTTTGCGCCTGCGCAGTACCTCTGATCTTTGTTATTCCATGTCACTATGGCGCTAAGCAAAACGTTTGGTCAAAAACCGGTCAAGTTTCAGCTCGAAGAGGATGGAGAATTTTACATGATTGGTTCCGAGGTCAGTATCTTTACCGTCCTTATAACTCCACCGCGGATATGGCGCTTTATGTTGGGTAGAACCGGCCTATTAGCCGCTAGCTGTTAGCCTAGCCGTATGCTCGAGGCCAACTATAGGGAATGCCGCTCGCGAAGGTTCATTCATTGATTATATGAGAAGAGAGCGAGGACAGGAGATGCTGGTCGATATGATGTTACCTAGATATGAAGTCTGGGATAAAACCCGCCTTCTGATTAACTAAAAACTGGGGTTCTCTTTGTGAAATCACGCCATTTTTGTATGTTAGCATACAAGCTAAGCTGACTTCTTCCAACAAAGCGCTAATTTTAGGATATATGTAGTGCAAGTCGTTGGATTATTTCTCGTACAATTCAAATGTTGAGTAAGGCTGACTTTTTATATGTATAGTACATGTCTTTAATATTAGCAGAGCCATGTTTTTTAAATTCACGATTTATATTTGCTTCCAGGATATTACAATTTGTAGACATTGTCTCTATTTGCACCACTGGTTTGGATCTAGGGCACATTTTAGTACCTGGTAATTTTGTGTAATATTCCAAGTGTGAATATGTTAAATTTAATATTTGTATATTACAACCAACTTTCTTCTTCAGAAGTGGGAACGCATCTATCCGTTAGGGTCACAGTCTATGGGGAAATGCAGCATAAATCCCGGCACAACATACTCTGATTCACACCAAGAGTCATCATAGTTATATTTTTTGGACTGTGTGAGCTGGAGTACCCGGAGAGAACCTATGCAATCAGAGGGAGAACATGCTAACTCGATGCCTAAAGAGCTACAGCCAGGAACCAAGCCTGAGACCTTCCACCTGCAGGGCAACACTGCTGCAAACCCTGCCACTTTGCTGCCACAATATCTATCTATAAGGTGGCTTTTAAAATTAACAATGATTTACCATAGTAGTTTTTTATTTATTTTACTGAGTCCTGATTAAATAAATTGAATCAGAAAATATATTTTATGAAAGTAGTGAAAATTGGGAATTAATGACTTTGTTCAAAAAGCAAGGGCTGTGCTTCTATCAGTGGTATCTTTTATTTAAAAAGACACTGTTATGGTGTCTTACTTCTAATGTTATTGAAGTGGAGTTAATAAGAAGTCATTCCTGACTTCCAAATCACACATTTTTAAGTTGCCTCTTTATTGTCTCTTCATTCATGCATGAATCCAGCTCTGTGTCCATTGATCCATCTGCCCATGCACATGTCCATCCTCACCTGTATCTGCCTCTGCTGTTTTAGAAACTTCTACATTTACAACTCAACAACTGTAGAACCGTTTAGCAGATTTGTGCTAAAAGTTGTTTACCGGTGCACTACATTTGACTATGGAAATGCTAAACCTTGATTTGTTGGGATGAAGTTAAGAGCATCAAGTTGTTCACTGATTTAAACACTTACTTGGTTCTTGGCTCTCGAGTGTTTGAATTTGGAAAGCTATGAAGTAACAAGCTTCGTCTTTTGCATCAAACATGATTTTAACCCAAGAATGAAGAAATCACAGAATAAGTTGGAAGACACTGGGAAGATATTCTACTCACAAGCCAGCCTGTCTTCTAGCTATCAATTATTGTATTATTATTGTGTTTTCTGACAGATTGATGATATTTTGAACACACAGACACCTCAGATTTCTTTTGTCACATAAGAATAATATGTTTTTTGAAGCTCTGAATCCCTACAAAGCATTTTATAGGAGCTGATAGCTGAGCTTCAGTCAGGCACAGCTTTTACTGGAACTTTATATTAAGATTTTGGAGATTAAATCTCCCTGATTTATCCGGGAACAGAAATTCCTCTGACAAAACATTGAAATAAACAAGAACTATTTGAGATATTTTTTTATTTTGCTGCTGTTTTTTTTATAATGCTTATCCTTTTTGCTTGTTCTGATTTTGGTAGGTGGGGAACTACCTGCGCATGTTCAGAGGCTCCCTCTATAAACGGTATCCTTCCTTATGGAGAAAACTGGCAACAGTGGAAGAGCGGAAGAAAATTGTGGAATCATCACATGGTCAGTAGAGGGCAGCACTGAGTCATGGACAGCTCTGAAGAGCTGATCTTTTTATTTTGTTTCATTCCAAATATAAATATTGTTCAATATAAATAAAATGATAACAATAAAATTGGAATTCTATTTACATTTTTTAATGTCATTTATGAAATGCTTTGTCTTGTCTTTTAGATCATGGCTACACTCAGCTGGCCACCAGTGTTACGCTTCTGAAGGCCTCAGAGGTTGAGGAGATCCTTGAAGGGAACGATGAGAAGTATAAAGCTGTGTCTATCAGCACAGAGCCTCCCGCCTACCTCAGGTACCTCCGTTTGAACTCTGGAAGAACAAATTTAGAGAATAACTCTGCATGAAAGTATTATTTTTAACATACAGACGGGTTTATTATTAAAGAATGCATATTTTTCTGCTTCATAAAGTTCTTAAATGGTCCTATTGCACCATAGTTGAATTCAATTTTAACGTCTACTTATAAGATCTAAAATCTTCTAGGTAAAAACAGTTCTAGTTAAGAGACAGCTGGTACAGTGGTTTTACTGAACCTACAGTTTTTCTTTTTCTGTGACATTGGGAAATGATTGTTTGGTTCTGATCTTTAACCACCAGGGAACAGAAAGCAAAGAGGAACAGTCAGTGGGTTCCCACGCTGCCCAACAGTTCCCACCACCTGGACGCAGTGCCCTGCTCCACCACCATCAACCGCAGCCGACTGGGCCGGGACAAGAAGAGGACCTTCCCCCTATGGTGAGGTGCCCTCTGCTGGGAGGAGGCTGAACAATTCTCCACCTTTATATTTTTCTATATACCTCCAGCAGGAGGCGCTGTAACTCCTATGATTTAAGGATCAAACATAAGTCATTTTTATGTTTATCTCATAATATTTAAAATGAATTTGCTTGAAGCTGATCTTTGCATAATGGGTTTCATTGTGGTTTCTTAGATATGAGTTGTCTAGGTGTTGCTCTTTTTCATTTTCTAAAAGCATATTTTCTCATGCTTTTAAGCATTTGGTTAAATATAATGAACCGTGTTCTGTGTCTCCGTCCTCCACAGCTTTGATGACCACGATCCTGCGGTGATCCACGAAAACGCCACTCAGCCAGAAGTTCTTGTCCCAATCCGTCTGGACATGGAGATCGAGGGCCAGAAGCTGAGAGATGCCTTCACCTGGAATATGAACGGTAGCTCCTCACCATCACCGGTTCTTTTTCCCAGTAATTCATGTTATTTAAAGCAGAGAATTAAGGAAGAGTTCTTTGTTTTTCTGTAATGTTCAGAGAAGCTCATGACGCCAGAGATGTTTGCTGAGATCCTGTGCGACGACCTGGATCTGAACCCACTGGCTTTTGTCCCTGCCATCGCCTCCGCCATCCGACAGCAGATCGAGTCCTACCCCACAGACAGCCTCCTGGAGGACCAGACGGACCAGAGGGTGATCATCAAGGTGACACCTTGCACCGCCGTCCCTGAGTATCTTGAATGCTAAGATGTTTATTTATTTATTTGTTATGTTTAATCGTTTTCCAGCTGAACATCCATGTGGGGAACATCTCTCTGGTGGACCAGTTTGAATGGGACATGTCTGAGAGGGAGAACTCTCCAGAGAAGTTTGCCCTGAAGCTGTGCTCTGAACTCGGACTGGGCGGAGAGTTCGTCACCACCATCGCCTACAGCATCCGGGGTCAGCTGAGCTGGCACCAGAGGACATACGCCTTCAGGTAGCAGATCTGGATGAAGAGATGTTCTACAGTCAGACCTCTTTGAGTTGGCAGACATTATCAATGTACTTGGTGTAGTTTGAGTCAGTATATTATGAACTTAATTCATAATTTTATAGAATGAGTCCAAACATCTCCAGATTAGACGGATCTGAATCTGACTCCTTCAGAGCCAACAGAATCTTGTTTGCTCTGAAGGGTGTCTAGGTGAAAGGCATCCCCTCATTTTGCCTGGGACCAGGGATGAGGAAACACTGGAATCTGTGTCCCAGCTGGACGACGAAGTGGAAAAACATTTCTGGACTGTTTTTTATTTTTTATTTTTTTTTTTACTTTCGGTACAAACGGAGCAAAGAGGAGCTGAACATGTTTTTATTTTTAACTTAACTTGGTAGCCATGAGCTCACAGTCATGCTGTAATGTTGTTTCTCATGCTACTGGTTTAAGTTGATTGTTTATTAATGAATGAAAAGTTCCTGCAGGTTAAGGCGGTTAACTAGTCCTCCATTTGAAAAGTTCCCAAACTGAAAGATGTGTTGTTTTGCAGCGAGAACCCCCTCCCTACTGTGGAGATCGCCATCAGGAACACGGGTGATGCTGACCAGTGGTGCCCCCTGCTGGAGACCCTGACCGATGCAGAGATGGAGAAGAAGATCAGAGACCAGGACAGAAACACAAGGTGAGGCCGCCGTTGTTTTTGACAGCCATCTTAGATTTAGTCTTCAGGACAAAAACTGTTATTAGTCTTAGTTTTAAGGACAATCCTTATTTTAGTCAACTAAAACTCAAAAAGGTTTTAGTCTAGTTTTAGTCAGCTTTATGTTGCAAAAAAAAAAAAAAAAAAGGTAACCTTTACAAGTTGGAATAACAACCAGATTATTTATCAGACTGACAGCTCTAGCCTAGATACTACAACAGCTGGTTATAGAATGCTGCCTTCCAGGTCATCATTGCTGTTAGCAGAAAACTTTGATTTATAGAGTTCAATTACATTTTTTTTTTTTTTGTTTTTTTGGTCTTTTTTATAAAAGTGTCTCACAAAAGTTGTGAAAATAGCCGATCTAGTTCAACACATCATATTGGTTAATATAGCAGACAGACAAGCTAACAAAATGTAGAATAAAGGAATGGTTTTAGACATACAAGGTTTCCATCCAAAAGCAAACACTTCCTGATCTACCATGAATTATGTATTACACACAGATCCATAAAATCTTCATTGCTCTAAAAGAAGCAAAGAACAAAAACCTTCTTCTTTCTACTTTGAACATTTTCGCTTCATTTCTGAGAATTTGCCCCTTAGTGACACTGCTCAGGGGTCAAAATAGATTTAAATTCACAGGGTTTTGATATAAAAAAAAATACAGAGAGAAACTATATAATGGCCTTGTACTGCAATGGCAATCAAGACCTAAATTAAATTAATATGTTAAATAAAATGTTGAAATATTCAAAGGAAACATAGAAAATGTTTTAATGACAATACAAGGAAACATTTAAATCATATTTAAATTGATAGAAATTAGAACAATGAGAGAGAAATATTTATTGATCAATGTACCTTCCCATCTGGCTCTTTATCCCAAAATAAACAATATGCAATCAAATACTTATTTGGATGTAATTTAGGGATTCCTTAAAGCATGTTTATTATTACCTCTTTTGAGATAGATAAAATAAAATCTTGATAGTTAGACAAAGTGATTTTTTTACGCATGGCAGAGGATGATCAGCCACATAGTTTATTAAGTAGCGATAGAAGAGCCATAGTGCTGAGAGCGAACCATTAGAGTGGAGCATGAAGCACAGACTTGGAGCTAGGCGCACAAAGACGCATTTCTGCACAAGAACAGATGAGATCAGAGCAGTTTGTCAGAGTTGAGCGTGCAGTGTGGGACCATTATTTTCTCAGACCCTGTCGCTGCTGCCGTGATCCATCTGTGCTTCTGCAGAACGTGTAGCGCTGTACGGCAGGTGGGCGGCAGATCAATGAAGACGCAGCAGCACGGATTATATTGCTTAGCTGATTACAGCACGATGATGCAGTTTAAAAGTCTGACCGACGACCTGCTATTTTTTATTTAGTCTCGTCTCCTTGACTAAAGCTCAAACCTGTGACTAGTCCTGTTTTACTCATCATCCATGTCAGTTTTCGTTATTGTTATGAAATGATTTCGTCATCTTCATCGTTGACAACAAGGGTGAGGGCTGGAGGATGAATACTGTGTTCTATATATTTCACATGGAGCATTTTAAATAAAACCTACCTGATCAGATTAGAGGAACTAAAACTTTGCTTAGCTGTTTAGAATCAAACAGTTTGGTCTTTAATTGTTTGTATGTCAAAGCCCCATTTTTCACTCTTCCTGCCTTTTTCCCACAGACGAATGAGGCGTCTGGCGAATACAGCACCTGCGTGGTAAACCCCGAGGCAGCAGCGCCCCCTACAGACACGTTACTCATACAGTTGAGGTAGGACCATGCGGTTCAGTTCGCCAGCAGCAGAGATTTTTCCTCCCTGGCGTCTGGACGTGTTCTTCGCTCGGCTGGATTCTGCCTGCGGCTCGCCGTTTACTTTTCATTTTAAATCTGTTTGTTGAAGACCCTTAGAAGAAGAAAGACACCCTCCCACCTCCTTCATGCCCCTCCCCCCTCTGCCTGGAGAAGCTGCTCTTTTTGACCACTGACTCTCTACCCAACCACAGAGGGAGACAAAACACACCCGACTCAAATAATATATTGTTTTGTTGTATTTGTTGTCTTTTGTACATTTTAATAATTCTTACAAAATAAAAACAAAAATCAGAAAAATATTTACGGTCTACTGTTTTATTTTTTTTTTGTTTTTTCAGTCAGATGTTTGCGTCACAATAGAGAAATTTAGATGGAAGCATCTAAAGAAATATAAAAATTGAATCTCTTGTTAAGTTTATTTGTTCGTTTCATTTCAGAGTAAAACTGATGATTATTACAGGTATAGTGAAATATTTAAAGCCTTTCTTGCAATTTAGATGATTTTTTCCTTACAGATAAAAACTTAAAATCATCAGAAAATTAAGAGTATTGTGAAAAAGTTATATAATACAAACTCAAGATGGCACACAGTTATTGCTTTGGTAACATCTACAGAAGGTTCCTGAGCCTCTGATCTGTCAGACTATAAAAACCCTTGAGAAGATTGCTGATTGGACAGATACCCAGAACATCTGACATCCTTAAAGAGGGTTGGCTATTCAAGGTTGATGCTGTAGAAGCTGGTTTCCGTAATTTGTTCTATCCAGGTGTATTTATATAGAGTTGAGTGAAAGGAAGAAAACTGGATAACTGGCGTTGGGAGGATTATGAAAAACAAGGAATTTGAGGCGTAAACTTGTTTTGAGTATGTACCGTGAATTAAAGCATGGAGCTGTTGCTCAATGGGTCCAAAGTCCTCTTTAATAAATTAAATAAAAGTAAGGTTTGCATTTCAGTTGCTTAAAAAATGAATCAAAGGTGAAACAAAAAAGACCACATAAAAGTTAAATTGAGCAAAGTGCATCTAACCACTTTACTCCTATGGAGTTCCATGAGGTTTAATTCTTAACTTTTTCTTTTTATTGCATCTTCATTTTTGATCAACTTTTATAAATCATAGCATCACCTTTCACTGTAATGCATATGATTGTTTGAGATTTCTCCTACAAATATTCTACCTTAAGTGTCCTGAAGGCCTCAAACCACAGATGGCTGTGAATTCTGAGCTTTCATGACCAGAAAGCAGAGATAATTTTATTACCAGAGATAAGTCTCCAGGTTTAATAAACAGCTCAGCACTGTTCTCCATAAAAAGCATCTTTCAGTTACATGAGGTTACTAAACTGAAACCAGTCTATTCTAAATGTAATTTTAAAATAATCAATTTTATCCAAACTTAACAGGATTATTGAAACTCTCTATGCTGCGATCAGTCAAATCTCACCTGTTGGGTCTTTTTAATGATCTCCATCCATTTTTCTCTAAAGCTTCTGCCTCATGTTTCTGTTTGAGCCTTGAGCAGCTTTTTTTCTATTTAATAATTTATCTTGGTTTAAACTGTTGTTCTGTGCTTTGGTTCAACTGTTTTAATGTATTTTATAAGTAAAATTGAAGTACTTCTGCTGATGAGCTTCATGGAGATGCTGATTTCATCTTCTAGCAGGACTTGGTTCCAACCCTCACTGCCAAACATAGCAGCAGTTGCTTTGGAGCGCAGGCTTTCCACCCAGCGTTCCCTGAGTGTGTTTGCTTCAACCTAAGCTGCATGCTGGAAAGGCAAATTAACCATTTGGTCCAAATAGGATGCATCTATTAAAGCATTGTAGTTTCAGGGGAATTTTCACAGGAGCTTCCAGCTTGTGAATCCAAACCCCGCCCTGCTCTAAACAAAGTCCTGACCCATGTTTCATCAGCCGAGTCCCACTGAGGCGTGTTTCTGTCTTGTTGTTGTTGTGCTAAGCAGTTTCCATTTTGTTGGTAGAGAGGGGGGCCACAAAGGCAGCGGGTGAAAGTGCAGAGTCTGCAGACAGAGCTGTGTGGTTTTCCAGGCTGTCGGCTCTCATGTGAGGCTGCAGAGGCTTCTGGTCCCTCTTTATGTTCAGTCTCTGGTTGTCAGATGTTCCTCCTTAATTCTGCATTCACCTTTAAACACATTTTGTTTGTTTCTTTGATGATGCTCGTTTCTGTCCACTTGATCTGCTTTGTGCTCACATAAAATACATAGAAGTTTAATGCAATGAGACAAACCGTGTGAGAAGTTTAAAAAAAAAAAATATATATATATATATATATATTTTGAAAAGTATTTGATGCACGCTTTATAAAAATGTCCCAAAGAAAGAAAGTCTGGAACTATTTTAACCTGAGAACTTTTTGGAAACCTTGTTATTTTATAGATGAGTCTGAGCTTTTTCCAGCCTTTGCAGCTCCTTTCAGAAAGCAGTTTGCTCCTGATTTTAGCAGCTCCAGAGTTCTTAGCTGTGTTGCTCCTAAACCTGCTACAGATCTCTTCTTTCCTGCTGCTCCTCCTGGAGGAGGTGATGGTCGCGTCCTTCAGGTCCATCAAACATGACCCGTCTGTGAGAGAGAGAGAAACGACAATGAGCTTTTAATCTATAGTGCAGTTTTCTCACTATGTTGGTAAAGATTCGCTTCCCATCCAGGAAGCTTTTTCAATAGAAAAATTATGAAAAAAAAAAAAAACGTTCATCCACATTCTCTACACCTTTTTGAGCGATAATCAATTCCTTTTCCCATTTTACTTTGAAAGTTAAGCCCATTTTATAAACTCTTTTACAGCTTAGACAAAAGTTCTCTAATAGTAATGTTTATTTAGCACCTTTTAAAAACTGCTTCGCAAAATTAAATTACACATAAAATACATTTACAGTCACAAAAGACGTCATAAAACAACCCTTAATCTACTGGAATTAAAATGCTTCCTTAAATAGGTTTTCAGTTCACTCTCTAAAACATCAACAGAATCAAGTAAGCGCAAAGAAAGCGGAGGATTGTTCCAGAGCGCCGGCGCAACCGCCTGAAAGGAGCAATCTCCCCTGGTGGTATAAGGACACATTAAGTCTCTAATGCAGGAGGGAGCCTGGCCGTGAAAGGCTCTAAAGGTCAGCACCAGGATCTTAAGCTTTTTTGAATCGCCTTAATAGCATTTTTTGTGCAACAATCAATAAATCAGCTGATTACCTGCTGCTAAGGTCCCTGTTTTAATTCATGTTTTATAAAAAAAAGTGCAATCATCTAAACGGGTCTCTAATTTCAATCCATCCTTTTTTAGGTCGAGAAGCACGACCTCAGACACATTTATGTGTTCCTACTTGGTGCTATGCTTTATGTTCAGGCACAAAAGTAGTATATGGTTCTTTAAAAATTAAGTCGAAATGGAAGTCGAAGGCAAAACACACGGTAAAGTGTAGAGAAAAACTTTCTCACCCTGATACTTGACCTGTTTCTGAAATATCTTCCCTGTTCAAGAGCTTCTGACGACCGTTTCCACTTTTATTTTGAGCTTTAAGGATGAATAATAAACATGTCTGAATTTGTTGCAAAGATATACTGAGATTCTCACAGCAGTTCTGGTGTCGTCAGCAGCTTTCTTCCTCCCGGCCGGTTTGGAAACACGTCCTCTAAGAAGTAATACACGTGTCCGACGGCAATTCCTGAGGGAATTTAAAAAAATAGAAAAATCCCCCGTTCATTTCAAACACTTGAACTCAGATCTGTGAAACTGAAAGGACCAGACTGGTGGTGATGAAGGTTTCAGACCCAGGAGGTCGGCGGCAACAGAGTTTCCCAGCAGCAGCGAACATCCCATCAGCGCCCAGGGGAGGAACGGAGCCTGGAAGCTCAGCAGGCCGAAGAAGTTTACAGGTATGAGCGGGTTCCTTTTACTCCAGACGTAGACCAGCATGACGATGAAGGCCTGGCCGAGGAAGATGATGTCGGCAAACAGACCCAGCAGCTGGAGACTTGCAGGTTAAATTCAAATAAATCTAATTTATGAAAGAACAACCTTTACTGTTATACTATGCACAGATAATCTAGATTAAATAAAGGGATTTTTTCATTTCTTTCTTTATGTAATTCATTCTTTAGATCTGAATTTGCACTTTTGTTTTTGGGAATCGGGTCTAAAGCCAGACTGATGAGATCCTCTGGGATTCTTCTCACATTTCAGAAACATGCTCTAAACTTTCACCCATGAGACTAAAAAGAGTGAAACAATAAAGGTTAAAGGACTCAAGTCTGGACTGGGAATAAATATCCACGCAATGTGATGCTGAACCGTGGATCCAGTGTTTAGACTTCTGTTTCTCCCATCAGGACAAGTTAATTTTCATTTCCTCTTGTAATGATGTGACCTGCTGTCTTTGACTGGCCACCTCTGTCCCAACAATCAGGTTTTATTTTTGAGAGAAGTTTCTTCCAGAGCCTTAATGTCAAGGTTTTAGAAGAAACCATAAATGTCTAGTTATGAATAATTATCTCCTGATGTTATAAAGTGTTTTAAATGCGTGAAAAGCAAAACTCAGATCATTTGTTTTGAACAGTTTAGTATTTACAGAGAAAAATGTGTGAGGTGCATCACTGCAGCCTTTTTCTCTCCACAAATACAGACATCCTAACGTATTTATCATTTTCTGCACTTATTCATAAATCAGTATTTTATCATCTTCTTCTAATTCATCTAAAGAACCGTTGACCTAATTTCAAATAATACATTGAAGGAAAGAAGCAGGAATTAGAGACAAGCTGCTTGAATACCAGTCTTATAAGCTGCAGTAGATTTTTAAGAGAACATTTTAATTTAATTTTCACCACAGAATAACATTAAAGAATGAGAAATGTGTTGTTAAATCTACACCTCTTGTCATTAGCTTGAAATCTATGCATTTTCTGCATAAAATAATATCCAATATAACAAAAATCCAAAATCAGTGATTCTTATTTATGAAATGTCATGTTTTGTCTTTTTTTAAATAAATAAAAAATACAAATAAACAGTTTAAAAAAGCAACAGTTTCCTGTTGCAGATATTTATCTAAAATGAAATGTGTTTTTCTAAAGATCATGCAATATTTGAGTCTCTCACTGATCTTCTATTGACCTGGGCTCATGGTAAAATGGCTTTTTGGATTAAAAACGTTGTACACCCCTGGATCAATGTAACAGCCATGTTTTTGTCACGTTGGGAACCTGTAATACTCAGAGAGAACCTATGCTACTAACTAGTACTACTAACTACACCACTGAGCGACGCTGATCTAGGATGAAGAAAACCTGACAGATACTAGGATTTAACTGCAGAGGTGGGTAGTATCATTAAGTTACATTTACTTATGAAACATTTTGGAAAAAAAAAAAGGTACTTTCTACTAATTATCCGTATTTGGCCACACAGTGAAACTAAAGCTAATGTGTTTCTTCCTCCTGAATGTAAATCTACTTAAGGAAGTGATGGACTCATTAAAGCTGACACTAAACTCATATGTCACCACGGGTTTATGGTCCTGGTTATTTCAGCAGAAACCATCTTCACACACCATCATTTAAAACTACCCATGAAACATAACACGACTGTAGAAACTACCCATAAAGCTCTAGTGCGTCCGTTTGAAAGCGGCGTCTGAGCTAAACAGACCCAGATCTCCATCATTAAACTGGAATGTGAACAAAAGTTTCCGCCTCCAAACTGCTAAGCATCTTTATAAAAAGATGAACGGTGTGTGCACTATGCTGTTGGTGCCTGTTTTTAACTTGTAGAAACTCCTCAGAACAAACATACTAGATGTTTATCCGCATGTTTGTTGCATGAATCTGGACATTATCTAGTCTGAGCTCCTTAAAAGGTCCAATTCAATACATCAGATGAAAGGTTAGCAACTGAGGGAGCATCATTTCAGGATTTTAGTTTTGAGTTCAACTTGTATTTACATGAGAACTGTCTTAAAAAACATTGAGATATCAGGGCAAATTCTACGTGAAAATCTAATTCCACAAGAGCTGAAGGAGAAGGCCGTCAAAGAATATTTTACCCATTGTTTTACCTGGTTTAGTGCTGGTAGATAAATCCATTAGGGAGAAAAAATTCTGTATAAAAATACCCTATGATCCTGAAAGTGTTCCTGCAGTGGAAATGCACCTACTGACCCCACGATGAACCTCTCTGTGCAAAAAGGCATGGATGCCAAACACAACAGCTAATCTAAAGGTTAATAGGGGGAAAAAAAGGATCAAATTGCTCCAGGGGCCTAGCTAAAGTCCAGACCTGAGCAAGAAACAAACATCTGTGAATTATAATGGAGAGAAGAATGGACCAGAATCTCTCCAGGGTGATGTGAAATTAGATGGAAAAACATTTGCTTAAAGTGTTGATTCATGAGGAGTACTTATTTATTTACAAAAAAACTTCAAAGTTATGGTTTATCCATCCATCAATTAACTGTCTGAACCAGTTTTGCCTTTCGTTAGGCTGAAGATCACCCAGCAGCGATTTATAAATGCCAATTAATCCAACCTTCATGTTTCAGGACCTTCTCCCTGCAAGGCAACAGAGCTAATAAACCCAACATGCAGCCTAAGTTATGTTAAAATTTAATTAATGAGTAATACACATTTTTCCTCCCCTTGGGACTTAGTTGACCTGATAGAGCGTAGCTTCTCTCATTTTTAATTAAACCTTATACCTGAACATTTTAGTTCCAACTGTAAACCTTCAAACATGTTTGAATCTAAACCGAAATCACATCTTTGCTCTTAGAACCTTACAGGATACAGTTATGAAGATTCCTCCAAACAGGAACATAAAGACGAAGTCTGCCGTTCTTCCTCGGAAACTGTCCTCCTCCAGCATGCGGCAGTACCGATAGCTGACCTCAGTTAAGGATTCTGCTGCAGCTTTTCTGCACGGATCATAACAAACATTGTTTTTAAAATCCCAACAGAAAAAGATACAGGAAGATGATGTTGAATAGAAAACCGAATCCAAGAGAGCCAAAGAAGAGGAAGCTGGTGATCAGACGCCATATCTGAAAAACAGAACACAGTAAGAGTGAGAATCAAAGGCGTAACTTTCTGAAGGACTGGTGTGGACATGTCCCAACTTTGGCCTGCAGGGGACAGACCCTACCAATAATTTCAATACATAGACTTTGGCTCTCAACAATTTGTGGGAAAATTTTCTAAATTTGATTTTGCTGCTTTTCAAGGAGGATAACCACTGATGTAGCTGAAAGGGAGAAAATCCATCACTCCATCCACATTTTTCTGGATGGATTGATAGATGATTGAAACGGAAATTGTCTCCATACTAGGGAGGATGATATATTGCTGTTGGCATCGGAATCGGCTGTTATTCATCCTCTTTTCTATACATTAATGTCTAACTACCTGTAAATATAAATATCAGTGTATTTTTATTCTTTTGTGTTCTAAACTGGAGGTCTACAACAGGAGGTACAGTACGCAACCCCTAGGGGGTCCACAGTGGTATTGCATGCGGTCGTGAAAGTTTTAGTTGATTAGATTTATTTATTTTTTTTATATTCCCCCCTGCAATTGAAATGTCTTTAAATCCACATTAACATGAATGCAGCACACTGTAGTAAACAGATAAATGGAGGCAGAAGATGTCTTTCAGTCTTCAATGCACACATTCAGCGACACACAGGAGCTCTTTCAGGCTAGGCACCATTTCATTCACAACACCTGTCCCATCAGACAGGAATCAGAATCAGAAATACTTTAATAATCCCAGGGAGAAATTACTTTCATTATATGAATCTATCTGTAATAGAGCGGCTATAGGACCAGTTTTTTATATCACAATTTCATACAATATATATAAGTAGGGGGGTCCCCGCTCCATTTTGCCATCAGTTTGGGGTCCTTAGCCTGGAAAACGTTGAAGAGCTCTGGTCTAAACAATAGGAAAGCATTCAATAAATATATGTCTAAGCTCATTTTTGGAAAATACAAACCCTATTGAAAGCGTTTGTGTCGTGTAACTGAAAGTCCATGAGCCCTTTAAGTGTCTCCACCAACTTTCATCACAAAGCTGAACCCTTGGTGAGAATGAATCCAAGGGTTGTGTACCTGGTATCTGCTGATGATGAGCTCTGGGTTGAAGTACAGCTGGAACGGGCTGATAACTTGAAGTTGCTGAAATAAATAAGTTAAGTGTAGTTCTGGTCATCCTCATCTTTCACTGATTATATCCCTACTGCTTAAGGTGAATTTTGATTAGAATCAAACAACAAACACAGATCAATTATTAGTTTGGTTCTAATAAAGAAGAACTTAGAACAGCATGAGTTAATAAGGTTCTGAGTTGGTTCTGGTGAGTCTTACCACAGCGGCGGTGGTGAGGACGCAGGCTGTCGTGTACGTCCGAGTCACCACGGGGATCTGCAGATACTCCTGAGTCAGACTGAGAACCATCGCTGCTGCTGCATCCCTCTGAGCCATGATTTACTCTGACTGCATCGACACACCAGGCCCCGCCCACCTCACACCAACAGCCAATCAGATCCACCCACCATTAGTTCTAAAAAAACACTGAATCTCTAGCAGGATTAGCAGGATAAATGTTTTTAGATGGGCAGAAATCAGAGATAAAGGTCATTTTATTTATAATTTAAAAAAAATAAATAAAACCCCTGAAAATAAATAAAAATATCTAAACATGTAGATAGTTATAAAAAACAAAAAATTATTGATTCATATTGGACTTAACATTTACTAAAACTAGAAATTGAGAATAACTACATTCTTTTACCTCTTTTACCTTGTTGTAGAAAATAATAATAATTTTAACTGATTCTGACATGTTAATTTAAAAACTTTTCACACAGGAAACCTCAAAGCTTTATTTATACAATTACTGATTATGTTTTCCATCCAAATTTTTACATTTGAGGCATTTGAATCTAAAAAGGTTATTGACTTTTTTGCATGGAAGTTCCCAGGGCACTTAATATAATGTTTTATTTGTAAACAGAAATCAAGCCGGATATCTGTTAGGCAGTAGTTTGATAACAAGGCAAAAGGTTTATTAGAAGGGATGCAGAGAAAAACAGGTAAAAACATACATAGTTCCTACATTTTTACAGTTAATAAGCTACATATGGTTAAACATATCAAATGAAGACATGTATGTACAAGAAGTTCTGCTGTTTGTGTATAAATATGTGGAAATCAGTCTGACAAATGAGTTAAACTGAGTCCCACGCAGCAGATTGTAAATAAAAAGAGCAAAGTTTGAACGATGAAAAACCGTAACGACTCGTCAGCGTCCTGCACTGAAAAACAACAACATGAAGTGATGAACACGACAGTCTGAGCTGAACCGCCAGAGTTCAAGTGCTGCAGTGAGCAAGGACGCAAAGCTGTGGAGCAGCGGTTCTCAACCTGAAGAAACATGGGGGTGTTTAATTTTATTAACAGGGATTAGGATTTATAGGATTTAGGATTTCTACTGTGCAAAAGATTTAATCCAGATGGGTTTTTCATATTTTCCGTCAGAGCAGCCAGACCTTCCTCCTAACTTCCTTAATGAGTCTCAGTCCATTGTCCTCCAGGTTTTCTGGGCTTTTATAAACCAGCCGAACCTTTCCTCAGAAGACATTCAGACCCAAAAGTATATTATATTGCAGCCTTTTTGAATATAAAATACTGACAGAAATCAACTTTGCTATCACGTCTCATGCTCTGTATTTCTAAAAAGATAAAGCCTAAATACCCGAATGGACTCTAAAGCAGGAGGAAAATATGGATTTCTAGTGATGGGTTCCTTTTGCAGTCTATAAAACCCTGAAATCTGACCGAGGTATTATAAAGTTTTAGATAAACGTGGGAAAAAATTATAATAATGTGGAAAAATGTTCTTTCGAAATGTCTATCAGCATTTAATTGGTAAATTAGCAA